AGGTCTCACATTTTCTACGATGATGCTGAGGAATATTTGGCCTTGGCCATGAATTTCTCGTTATCTGGACGATGTTTTTCTGACCCTTCATCCTTTTCCTTCTCTTCGGGTGATTCATCGTGTTCCTCATTTTCAGCCCGATTCTCTGGTTGTGTTATGCCATGGCGAGAATTGTTTAGTTGTTCTCCCCTAAACTTGTCGTTTTGGTTAACCTGTATTCCACTTCTTAGTGTAAGTACACTACATTTCTCCTGTCCATGATGCTTAGTGATTTCAGTGTCACTAGGGAGATTTCCTTCCGGTCGAGAATGAAATGTTGTAGTAATTTGGCCCACTTGATTCTCCAATGCTCTTAGAGATGAATTATGGCTTTGCAAAAGTGTAACTTGGCTTTGTAACAAATTTCCTTGGTTTTTGATTGTTGTAGAATGTTCATGCATCAAGGTTTTTGTTAAAGCCATGAAATCTTTTGTTGAGGCCATAAATTCCAGCAATGACACTTCCAAGGAGTTAGCATTAGAATTAGTATTAGAGGAAGAAGCTATACCTTTAGTGTTTTGCCAGGGCAACTGATGATGTTGATTCTGGAAATGTTGATGGTCTGAGTTACTTTTTTGTGGCCTATTATAACTTGCTGCTTGATTGTTATTATTCCCTTGATTACTCCATGAAAAATTTGGATGTTGTTTCTAACCAGGATTGTATGTGTTTGAATAGAAGTTATTATTGCTCCGGTTGTAATTGCCCACAAAATTAGTGGACTCACGGTTTTTCGGACATTCACTCTCATGATGGTTGTCGTGACAAAATATGCATGTGTTATTGGTCACCTTGACTTCTCTTACCTCATTAGGATGCTACAAATTCTTCAACATATTAGTTATGGTAGAAAGTTGAGCATCTATCGAATCCTTACCCTCTAATTCATATGCTCCAGATGTTTTACTACATTTACCAGTCTTGTATTTGGGAATTGATATTATATGTTATCCTGTCGAGGATATCAAAGGCTTCCTTGGGTGATTTGTCAAGTAAGGTGACATTTATTGAGGCATCCAACATCATTCGAGTAGGTGCATTAAATCCATTGTAAAACATCACTACTTGAGTCCAGTCATGAAACCCATGGTTGACACATTTGGGAAGTATAATGTTATACCTATCCCAACATTCGTACATTGATTCATCATCTCATTGGCAAAAACTTGCAATATCATTGCGAAGCTGTGTATTCATATTGGGTGGATTGTATCGAAGTAGGAAACTCTTGCATAAATCTGCCCATGACTCCATTGAGCCTGAAGGAACTCCACTGAGCCAAGCTCTCGCTCTATTGCATAGGGAATAGAGGAAAAGTTTTAGTTTAAGCACATATTCATGCACTCCTTGTTTTCGGAATGAATCGCAACTTCAAGGAAGGCACGAATATGCTTTCTAACATCCTCAATAGGTGAAACACCAAATTAACCGATAAAATTTAGCATATTAAGCATCACCGGTTTGAGTTCAAAATGAGTTGTTTGTATTTCAGGTGCCACGATGCCTGGATTGAAGTCATCAAGAATTGGATTCAAATCATCTCGTATTGCTCTTGGTTTTGCAACTTGAAGATTAATTGCTACGTCGGGATCTTCATGATCTCCCATGTTGTTGCCTTGCAATTGTAGTTGGTTTAAATATTCTCTGGTTCGTTGGTCACATCCCTTCTGTCTGAACTACTGTTCAACTTTAGGGTCGAATGGTTCCAATGGTTTACCAACATATCTCGGGGTCATGCAATAATAAAAACCTACAAAATTAAATAATAAAATACGTTAGACTAAGTAGATATAAGGTGACAAGAAAAGCATGTTATGGCAAAAAATAAAAATTTCGTGAGTTGCCAATCCTTGGCAACGGCACAAAAAACTTGATCGCTTGTAAATATATATATGATAAGGCAAGCAATTTTGTGCAAGTATACAAAATTGAATCAAGTAATATAGGGTAAGTGAGTTATCCTCTCCTCAGGGATTGGTTGAAAGTTTTTAAGCTTCACCACAATCAGAACTAGTTGTCACAAGCTAATTCCTACCGTCTTGTCAAACTAGAAAATTATTATTATTAAAACAAGAAAATACTATAAAGTATGATTGCATAAAAGTTTGGTCGAGACAAAATAAATATGCAGACTATTGAAACAAAACAAAACAAGGACAAACATTGATTTAAATATAATTCAAACAACCTCACATATTCAAACTTATCACAGAGCACTTATGCTAATCTTTTGTATTGACAAACAATGATTCTAAGTCCAGAAAATTACAAACCAAGGACAAACATTGATTTAAATAATTCAAACAACCTCACATATTCAAACTTATCACAGAGCACTTATGCTAATCTTTTGTATTGACAAACAATGATTCTAAGTCCAGAATGAATTATTATGACATGCTTAAGCTGCCCGAAAGGATTGCTAAGTATTATTAGACGGTTGCTATGACAATACTACTCAGCGTTATCTACAACCCTTGGTTTGTCAGACTAACAAAATAAAGACAAACGTTGATTTAAATATAATTCAAACAACCTCACATATTCAAACTTATCACAAAGCACTTATACTAATCTTTTGTATTGACAAACAATGATTCTAAGTCTAGAATGAATTATTATGACATGCTTAAGCTGCCCGACAGGATTACTAAGTATTCTTAGACGGTTGCTATGACAATACTACTCAACGTTATCTATAACCCTTGGTTTGTCAGACTGTTGTTGTAGCAATACCTCTCAGTGTGAACTATAGTCGTTGTCTATCCTACTCTAGCGTCTATCCCTTTTAGTCGAATGAAACCTGCTCCTTATCTCTAATGTAGCACTACAAGAAAATATACCTTTAATGACACACGAACGATGACACACGCTAATTTATGACTTGCAAAACATGTGTGTCATAAAAAATGTTATGTTTTTTAAATTCTGAACGATTTATGACTTACAATGATGTGTGTCATATTTAATAGTCATAATCCAAAAAATTTACAAAAACACGGAGTATAGATGAATTTTGTGTGTCATCTTTAGGAGTCGTATTCTAATTCCCCCCCCTTATTTTTCATCATTTCCCGCGCGCTTGATCTTCCCCCATTTTTCATCAGTTCACGCCGTGCTTCCCCATTTTTCTCTGTTTTCCCTTAAAATGTTGAACTTTGATTGTCTTGTGATATATGTTTTGTTATGCTTGTTGAAATGTTTACAAACATATCTTGTTTCACTTGACTTGACGTATCATTGTCTGACATAAGGAGGGTATGGTGATATGACTCTCCAAGTACATGGACAATCCTCAAAAAGAATCCCGTATCCGTTACTCACTTCCGAGTCCAAGCGATATAGGTCTGAATAACCCTACAATAGTATATATTATTTCGAGGATTTTTGGAAGGTTATATTATGTTTGGGATTCTTTTGTTTAAAAAAAATGAGTGAGGGAGGTGCCTCTGCTTCCCAGTTCCCACATATGTATTTCATTCGCTAACTAGAATGGTTCCAAGTTTTTACCTAATTGTCATGTTTCAGATGGATTTACTTTTGGTTGCTTATGGCTGCTGGTTGTTGACTTTTCATTAGTGAAGAGGCTTTAAATATCTGGTTCTGTCCTTTGCATTGGTACTTAATGTTTCACTAACACAACTTTTCCTGCCTTTTTCTGCTTTCTATGTTGTTTGGATTCTTCTTTTCATTTGAAGTATCGATATCTGACATTTTGTGTCGGACATATAGATATGTAGATATGACCTCCAAAGATCTTCTAAATGCATAGAAATAACTTTAAAAAAATCTAATAATACATCTATTCGACACTCATACTTACGTTCGAGTAGCATAGTTTCCTTTTTATTGTTTTGCTAGTTTAACTAAACACTCGCTCTTGAAATTTAATTTTTGTTTTTGATAAATGTAGGTTGGCATAAGTTTGGCACGGATGCTATCATTGGATGGAACATGACATTCCTTTGCTGAGTCTCTCTCAAGAAATGCCCCATACATAATATCCATAGTTCTCTGGGTATACTGGTTAGTGGCCTCTTATCTTATTATTTATTTTAGTCGAATTTTGTAACTATATGTTGCTCCGACTTTTCATTCTTTTCTTGAAGTGTTTATTTCTAACATTTTTGTCTATCATATGGGTACTAGTATATGACTTTTAAGAATCTTCTGTCCAATATAATCGTTTCAGACATGTACTCCAATCTGATGCTCACACCCGAATTCAAGTATCGTAAAATACGATTATTAACTTAGATTTAGGTAACATTCTTTGAATGATGATTACGAATATAGGCAATGAGGCTTTCTCATGTTACAACCATGTGCTTCAACTTAAATTACAACAAGCACAAGACAGAGATTTTGAGGCTAACACCAAGAACGTTAGAAGATATCGAATAGGCTACCACCAATAATTTATCTAACATTTTTAGGGTTTGTTCTAGTTTCAAATGGGTTTTTTAGATTTTATGAATGGGACATGACCCTTGAACATTGTTCTATAGCATAGTACAAAATGAATTTGTTAGGGTTACTTTGTACTCGGTAATTTGGGGTAAACATTTTGTTCTTCATATCTTGCATAAATATTTCATCAATCATCAGTTATAAAGTTGTAGTTTTGCTAATACTTTATAATTATTTAGGTTGGTAAGTAATGGTCGATGGATAAAGCATGGATTTCGTCTGATAGGTTATCTGATGCATATGAAGTGGGTGTAAACATCTTTCTAGACTTTGCACAAAGTAATGATCCAAATTCAGATCTTATTCGATGTCCTTGTATACATTGTATTAATTTGTGGCACCACTCAATTTAGACCGTACGCTATCATCTGTTTTCCTATGGCTTCGATGAAAGTTATAAGGTTTGGTCTTTCCATGGAGAAAGATAGCCCAAGCTTGATTCTAGATGCCCTAACAAATCTATTCCTCCCGACTTTGATTATACAAGAGATATGCTACATGATGCCTTCAGAGATGTAGAAAAAGAACCCGATTCATTGAAGTCACTTCTTGAAGAATGTGAGAAGCCACTTTACGTAGGGTCAAAGTATAATGCACTTAGTGGATTATTGAAATTCCAACATATCAAGGGTCAATTTGGGTGGCCTGAGGCTAGCTTTGAAGTATTGTTAGGTGCCCTAAAAGATGTCTTACTATTAAACAATAGAATACCTAACTCCCTATATGATGCCAAGAAATTGCTAAAAGGAGTAGGTCTACAATATGAAAAAATTAATGCATGTGAAAACAATTGTGTTCTATTCTGGAAAGAACATAAGGATGCTTCTCAATGTCCAACTTGTGGCACATCTCGTTGGAAGAAGAATACCAAAAACGTACCTTTGAAAGTTTTGTGGTATTTTTATCCCATCCCCAGATTTAGGAGAATGTTTTCGTCACCAGAAATGGCACAAAACTTAACTTGGCATGCACAAGGTCGGGCTAATAACGGTATGCTAAGTCATCCTCGCGATTCCCCCTCTTGGAAGCTTGTTGATAGAACATGGAAAAAATTCGGAGAAGAAAAATGGAATCTTAGATTAGCCTTGTCCGCTGATGGTATCAATCCTCACAAGTCATTAAGTTCCAAGTATAGTTGTTGGTCGGTTATCTTAATAACTTATAATCTACCCTCTTATTTGTGCATGAAAAGAAAATTCATGATGTTGACTCTATTGATATCAGTTCCAAAACAACCTGGTAACAATATTGATGCCTACTTGGCACCATTGATAGCAGATCTAAAACTCTTGTGGGAAACTGGCGTGAAGACATATGATGCTTATAAGAAAGAATACTTCAATCTAAGAGCAATATTACTTTGGACTATAAATGACTTTCCTGCATATGGTAATCTTTCGGGGTGTGTTAATCTTTCGGGGTGTGTTACCAAAGGTTATTATGCGTGTCCAATATGTTCAGAGAATACTTGTTCACAGTGGTTGCCAAATTCGAAAAAAGTATGCTTTCTTGGTCATAGAAGATTCCTGCCACTTCAACATCCTCTTCGTAAAAGAAAAAAAGATTTCAACAATCAACAAGAGGGTGGTGTTATAAAACAACCATTATCAGGTGAAGAGATTTACGACTATCTGACGGGGTTTGAGACTTCATAGGGTAAGAAGACAATGTCTAAGAAGAAAACGTCAAAGAAGAAAACGTTAAAGAAGGAAAAAGAAAGCATCGATGAGAGAACTAAATTTTGGCATAATAAATCGATTTTTTTAAACTTGAATATTGGAAGAAGTTGCTCGTTCGTCATCAATTAGATGTTATGCACATAGAGAAAAATGTGTGTGAGAGTGTTTATGGGACATTGTTGAATTTGCCTGGCAAGACGAAGGATGGGTTAAGAGCACGACAAGATCTTGAGGCGATGGGCATTAAGCCTGAATTACAAACTCAACCAAGAGGGAATCGTACTTAGCTTCCGCCTGCGTGCTACACATTGAATACCATGGAAAAACACCAGTTTTACGAGACCCTGTCTACCATAAAAGTGCATGATAGGTACTATTCAAATTTCAAGAATCTCGTGTCTGATGATGTATCAAAGATGAATGGTTTGAAGTCTAATGATTGTCATGTACTGATGCAACAACTTCTCCCTTTTGCAATAAAGGGGGTGTTACATGTGAAAGTGAGGAAAATAATTATAGGTTTGTGTCATTTTTTCAACGTGTTGTGTAATAAAGTCGTTGATGTTAATAAGCTAGGCAAGTTGCAAAGTGACATCGTATTAACTTTGTGTTTGTTAGAGAAGTATTTTCCTCCTTCGTTTTTCGATGTCATGATCCACTTGATGGTGCATTTAGTTAGAGAGGTGAGGTTATGTGGCCCGGTTCATTTTAGGTGGATGTATCCATTTGAGAGATACATGAAAACACTCAAAGGCTATGTACAGAATCATCATCGACCCGAAGGTTGTATTGCAGAATGTTATGTGGCAGAGGAAGCCTTGGAATTTTGCTCAGACTACTTAAAAAATATGAAATCAATTGGCAATCCTCATGAACGTGTTGATGAAAGAATTCGCACCGGTAAACCTTTATCACGGGGTACAGTCGAGGTTGTAGATGCTAAGCTACTTGATGAAGCTTAGCTTTATGTATTACAAAATACTGCTGATGTGGAGCCGTATATAGAGTAAGAACCACTATGTCTTCTTTGTACTCTATGTAATGCATTAAACTTTTTCTAACTTCTAATATGATTCTATCTTCAAATATTATTTAGGCAACATATGTTGGAATTGAAGGATCATAACCCCCGTGCCTCTCAAAATAGTAAATGGTTGCAGACTCAGCACAGTCGAACATTTATTAGTTGGCTTAAGACCAAGGTTGATACACATTTCGCTAACGGGGAAGACATTTGTGAGAGTGTTCGTTGGTTGGCTAAAGGGCCAAGTTTTGATGTGAAGAAATATAGCGGTTTTTCCATAAATGAGTATCGGTTCCATACAACATCTCGAGATAAATCAATAACAACTCAATGTAGTGGAGTATCTCTAGTTGCACATGCTATGCAGATTGTTAGTGCAAAAGACTCCAATCCCGTGTATAGAGCTGTTACTTACTATGGTCGTATACAGGAGATATGGGAGCTTGATTATCGCATATTCACTGTTCCTGTTTTCATGTGTGATTGGGTTGATAGTCGTGGAATAAAAAAAGATGACTTTGGATTCACAATGGTTAACTTTTCTAGGCTTGATCACCAATCTGAACGCTTCATATTAGCTAGTTAAGCCAAACAAGTTTTTTATGTTCAAGATCAACAAGATGCGAATTTGTCTGTTGTCGGCTTCACACCACATAAGATGTACAAGTATGGAGCAAATGGTGAAACTGATGATATGTTGGAATACCATGTTACTTTTGATTTTTTCACAAGACTCCCCTTTAGTAGAACTTGATGATGATTTTTTGTGTACACGCCCAGATGGCGAGGGCATATTAGTTTAAAATATTTTTTGCAAAATAAAATCTTTACTTTTTGGTATGTTTTTATTTCAACATCTGTATGTTATTAATTCTGTTCCAACTGCAATAAATAGCAATGTACTAACTTTTTTTATTTCAATCATGTTGAAACAAGTTGTACTTGGTACCATGGAATCGGATCAGTCTTCAAGTCATGATGAAGACTCTAAACAAAGAGGTCCGACAATAAAGGGAAAACTACTAAAGGAAAAGTTATCGTTACTTACAATAAAAAGGGTGTTCCAATTGGCGTTGAAGCAACGAAACTTGCTTCCTTTGAGGGCATGGTAGCAAGATCAATGGTGCCTATCACTTATGCCACTTGGCGAGATGTTGAACAGGAAAAAAAAGAAGACTTATGGCAATACATTTTGGTAAGTCTAACATCTGATCTTAACTTCCAATTAATCTTTTTTTTGTTAAAAATAATATATTTTTTAATTAATGCTTTATGTTTCAGATGAATTTTGAACTTGATCCAAGGAGTCGGAAGAACACCCTTCAATCCATTGGGACAAAGTGGAAGAACTTTAAGCATTATTTGTATAAGAAATTCATTGAGAAGTTTAAGAATGACCCTAATGCAAATCTGCTCAACCCTCCAGAGATGTATCCTTATTTGAAGAAAGATGAGTGGAAGGTTTTTGTATCGCAAAGACTTTCAAAGAAGTGGGAGGTTAGAAACCAGTTTGTATTTTTCGGTATTTGTTATATATATTAGTTTTAGAAACCAGTCTTGACTGTTTTAATGTTTCTAATTTAGGAAATAAGTGAGAAAGCTAAAAAAATGCGTGGACATCATAGATACAATCATCAGTTGAGTAGAAAAGGATATGCTAGACTAACTCTTGAGATTGTATGTAGTAAATTAATTGAATAGTTTAGATATGCATTTGTTTATGTTAATTCATTGTTGTTATTATTTTTAATTTAGATGCAAGAAACGGGAAAGGAGGAAGACGAGATTGATAGAGCATTGTTGTGGAAAAAGGCAAGACAAATGAAAAAAGGAGGTTATGACCCGAATGTCCAGATTGTTGTTGATAAAATGGTAAGTTCCTGTGAACATTCCTACTTTATTTTTTTTATCTTATTGTTAACACCATATGAGCTTTAATCCTTTGAATATTTTGAATATGAATATTTGCTTTCACTACAGGAAGAGATGCAGAAGTCAGAAACTTTAGAAGAGGTCAGTTGTGGAACAAATGACATGCTTACCCAAGCCCTAGGTACCCAAGAACAACGTGGGCGTGTACGAGGGATGGGCAAATTTGTAAGGCCCACCAATACTTTGTCTTACCCAATACCGTGAAGAAATACTTAGATGGTGAGAAGAAAAAGTTTGAAAAAAGGTTCAACCAAATTGAAGGTGCAATAGAGAAACTACAAAAAGAGATGAATCATGCTTCTGAAGGCACAAGTGGCCAAGGGTGGGGCAAAGCAAATTTTGAAGACAACCCACCGAGGAATTACTTGTAAGTCTTATTAAATTATAGTATGAATTAAATGTAAGTCTTGACTACAACTAATATATATATAATTTGTAGGATACTTCCTGTTATCTTGCGATTGATATTGCCTCCAATATAGTTGCCAAAGGAACAATAGTGAAGCACAATGATCTATCATGTATTACAAAAAATATCAGTTTTCTTTTTGATGTTTTAGAATATTCATTCTTAGTAATAACTTTATATAACAGGTGATAACATTGAAGTAATGATGGAAATGAGTGTACAAGGAGACGCGTTACTACCGTTTCCACTAGATGAGGAGTTTATTTACAAGGTTAAAGATGCAGTGGGGTTCATAGTGAAGTGGCCTAGACATCTAGTCATTCGATGCTCTGATTTGGTAATATTTTCATTTATTTAAAGAAATTATATATGTCTAATTTAAATGATATCTTTATATTTTTTTTGTAGGCAAAAGTGTTGGCGTTTATGGGAAAAAAACGTGTGAACGGAGATGAAGTAGAAAGTAATAAAGGAAAAAAACGACAAAGAGAACTTGTTGAAAAAAAGAGGAGAAAAGAGAAGGGACACCGAAGACGGAAAAAGAGAAAGAAAATGAAGAGGGTAAAGGAGAAGGGACACCGCAAAGGAAAATTGAAGAGGAGAAAGAAGAAGGGACACCGAAGAGGGAAAGAAAGAAAGAAAAGGAGGAGGGAACACCGCAAAGGAGGAGGACGAGAGCACAAATGATGACAAGGCTAAGAGTTGAAAGCAACCGTGTTTTGAAAGTGTTTGCATGTATGGTTGATATACAACTTAAAAATGCGGAGTCCGTTAAAGTGCAATGTGAGGACGATATGTTTGGGTACGAGAGTTTCACGTATATAACTTGGGAAGATTTTGAAGTGGTTTTTACTGTGTGGATGAGATGACCGGTTCTGCGATTACTTGTTATATGATGTAAGTGCATAATTTTAATTTTATTAAAACACAATATATTTAATCATCGTACTTGTATAATGTTAATAAATAGGTACTTGTTTGAGGAAATCAAGAATGGGCCAAAAAGAGATCATGGAATTTGTTTTATGAGCCCGTCTGCAATCTCGCCATCAGGACCTAAGGCAAAATTCAAAAATAGCGATGAGGCAATTCGAAGCGTTGCAGATCGATTGTCTCTAAGAAAGGACAATGACATTGTCCTATTGCCATATAATCCCGAGTTTATTTTTTCATTTGATTATCAATATATTTTAGTAACTTAATTTGGTTTTTTGTTTTTATAGAAGCCATTGGGTGTTGGTGGTGATAGATATGAAAGTAACAAGTTGTTATTATCTTGATTCCTTAGGGCCCACCAATGTCCATCAGCAGTTGAAGCAAGTTATTGATGCGTAAGTAACATAAATTATAGAAACATTATAGTATATTCTTTGATATATTTCATCAATTTTTATAGGGAAATGAAATTGTACAATGCTCAAAGTGGATCTAACAAAAGGGTTAGCCTCAATTGGATCAATGTTTTAGTGAGGACTTCGAACGATGATTCCTTGTTTAAATTGCAGCTTTCATTTTGACTAATATTTTATTGTAAACTGTTTGTAGTGTCCCCGTCAGTCGGGAGGTACCCGAGTGTGGATATTATGTTTGTAAGTTCATGAAAGAGTTAGT